TTTAAAATAAAGTTTTAAATCAAAAATTTTATATAAAAATCAAACTTTTTTTTTCTTTTCAATTTAACATGTATATCATTATTTTTATATTTCTTTTAATAATTGCAATTTTTACATGAAACAAAAAAAAATGATTTCACATCACATTTCACGTAATAGTTTTCACATGGTAAAACAATACTACATTATTTCACCATTTGAAACAAAAGTACATTGTTTCACATTAATAACAATGTGTTGTTTCACAATATGAAATAACACTTTAGTGTTTTACGTTTCATGTCAACTTTGTTTTGTTTCCACATTATCAAACCATACTAAATAAATAATTTTGGAATAATTATTTGTACAGTTTTTATTCATTTGGTGTTTAGCCAATTAATATGTAATTTTGCTGAAAACTAATGAATACACTTATTAGAATTAAAAGCATCTTAAATAAGTGTTTCTAAACAACTTGTGACGATTTTATAACAGATACCGTGGGTGATTAATGTGTTTACTCAAACAGACCTTTTTTTTTTCTTGCAGCTCAATAAATGCAATAGATCATCTAATTGTATCTGAATTCTGAAGTACAATTAATGGTATTTGATGAGAAACATTTGAGTTTGATTTGAGGGTTTGAATATAAGTTAAAGAGAGTTTACAATATTTTTAGATAAAACGAACATATTAACTTGTATATGGGATTCAAAAAAATAATCAAGAAATCGAGACAGTTTCATTAACTCAAATTAAACTTGTTAATATGTTAAGATCTAACTACGAGGGTGATGTCTGATTGGTTTGAGCTTGAGCTCCAAAGGTCAACAGTGAACATGGAGGTTTCAGGTTCAAATCTAATGAGAAATAAAAATCATCTTGTGGTCACGGTGGTTCAAATGCGGTGACTTATGGCTACCTATAAAGCAGGTGGTCGTTCTGGGATTAGTCGACTCGAGTAACAAGTTTGATATCCAGGTTAATCAATTTTGTTGTTGTTAAGAACTTATATTTGTAATTGAGTTCGAACTTCATATGAGTTTTAAACAAATTACTGCACAAAAGGTAGACTCAATTGTCGGATTACTAAGAGTATTTTTGACAACTTTTCTAACAGGAAAATCACCATTTGAATTGTAACGTATTAGTTGATACTCAAAGGGTTGTACAGAAATTTATCTTTTCCGAGTTCAGATTTATGCACCGTCAAAGCAAATGTGCCCATGGAGGTTAACAATTCACGTGCAATAAATCTAGATTATCTATGATCGCCCAAGAGATTACCCGATCAGTGTAACCTAGCTAGAAACTCATGGTTATAAAAAAAAAGATTTAGGGGTTGTTTGGTTCATGCAGGAGAATGAAAATAAGAATGAATTTTCACTTCCTCAGTTTAATCTGGAATAAAAATTTGGGATTCTAGGAAATGGGTCAATTATATTATATAATATCAAACAGTTTATTCTATTTTCATTCTCGTTAATTAGTGCTTAATAGTTTTAATCAAACACTTTCTTAATGTTTTTTAGGTTTTTTAAAGGAAAAAAAAAAGTAAAAATTTAAAAAAATCCAATGGACTTTAGTGTTTGGAATGATCAAGTCATTGGACAATTTTTTGGAACAAATAAGTTATTGGACATTCCAAAACATGTTAAGTAACTCATTGGACAATTTTTTGGAACAAATAAGTCATTGGACAATTTAAAACATGTTAAATAACTCATTGGATAATTTTTGGAACAAATAAGTCATTGGACAATCCAAAACATGTTAAATAACTCCTTGGACTTTTCTAAAACTTGTTGGATACATTCTTATGACTTGTACAACTAGTTAAAATGGTAAAATAGTGAAAAAGTCCGGAAAAACCCTATGAACATTCATATTTTGAACGATTAAGTCTCTAAATATTTTTTGAATCAAAAAGTATTTAGATCTATAAAATTAGACAAATATAACAAAAAAGTACTTACATTTACAAAAAAATAATTACATTTAAAAAAGATTTTTGATAAAATTTA